AAGATACAAAATAAATGCCTTTAAACCACTATCCTAGATTAGCTCTAAATTAATGTCCACCCTATCAGCTGAAAGCGCCAATAGCTAAATCAATTCCAAACTGAAACCTATAAAACAAGATGCCTTAATTGACTTAAAACAATGATAAGCTGACTCTTGGAAGCAGTTATCAGAAATCCTACTTTGTTCTTTGTTATTCAGGACTGACTAAATAATATTATAACAATTTTCTAAGCCCAAATGCTTGCTAGCATTTTAGACTTAATTCTCTACATAAAACAGTAGCTCCATTTAGATTCAAGGCATGAGTTTTCAAATATATCCCTATATGGAGAAAATTAGTCTTCCACCCACCTAATTTTAAAAAGACGTATTAAGTAGTTAGTGATGTTTTTATGATCCTCTGGATTTTATGCTACAGTTGTACTTACAATTTCCAAGCATCCTGCAATGAACACCCTTTCATAAGCAGAAAAAGAAATCTTAAAATATTCAGCACAGAACCATTTTAATCAATACTTGAGAGAAATTACTTACTTTGTGTTATTAAACGTGCCTATCACTCAAGACATGTAAATATTCTAAAAATTATAAAGGTGAGTAGGGATATGGGGTGGGGTGGGAAGACTAAATATGGGACATTTAGTAGAAAAACAAGCAAGCAATCTCAGACAATAAAGCCTATTTTTTAAAAATCTGTGCACGAAATAGATAGTAGAGATAATACAGTAAAACCTGTGAGAGCCAGATACCATGTAAGGTATGATGGAAACTCGTCAGCGATGGGAAACCGTAGAGACTGTCCCCTGAAATGAGTGGTAGAAAACGGTCAAAGGCAGACAATTTGCAAGACCTGGAAAAACAAAGCAGTCCTGCTGAGTTCCAGTGCCCACAGGCTGTCCTGTCTGTATAAACCAGTCCTCTGAAATACAACATTGCTGCGAGCTTTAGGCTAATTCTGACTTCATCACGAGACAAACCTTGAAAGGATCAGAACTCCATTCTTTAAAAAGTTTCTTAAGTGGCAAAACTTTTGTATTAAAATACAATTTACAAGTTGAACACTGGACTTTAAAAAAACCATAAATAGGTGCTCGGGGTTAGTAGTTCCTTTCAATTTCTGCTTCTTTTCCTTCAATCAACTCCATCACTAAAGACATTTGATTTAAACTCAAGAACTAAAGAATGAATTTACGCAAAGGAACACATTCTTCATTTTTTAAAAGGCATAAAGTCATGAATAACATAAATACCTGTGTGGAAATTTGTGCAATTTGTCTTTTTATGTAGTATTTCCTATTAATATTCTAAAAAAAAAAACCATAAATGAAACCTCAATAGTGGAATCATTGCTGAAATTATTATAAGGATGATTAAATGTCTAACTGAGGTGTTTTGTTCCACTCTTGTGAACATCAAAAGGCCAATATTCTCTAAATATTCAATGGTGTTGTTGACTTTTACTGTTCTTTCACCTTAAAATTCTACTATGTCCTCAGAAACAAAATATATGGAAAATGGGCTCAGAATCTGAGAGGTCACTTCTTACACAAGGAAAATGAAAAACAAATTGTACATAAATAAAGCAGTTCTTATTGTGGTGATATGATTTTTTAAAATGGAGCTCTGTTCACAAATCTGAATGCCCATGTAAATTTTACTAGCTGACCCTTCTAACTAAGTATGAGGATTCCAATTTTTAACAGAAGTGGGTATACAGACTACACCCTGGGTATATAATCTGGGAAAGAGTAAATCTGATTTATACTTCTGTTGGGGATATGTGGAAGGCTAATTTGATAAAAGTGATATTGCCTAGTTAAATATAGTTAAGCCATATTGTTAGCATCAGGGACTCGGCCCCTCACATCTACTCTTCTTTTTCTATTCCTTGGTGAGTGGAACCCAGGGCTGGAATCCCAAAACTCAGGAGTCATCCTAGGTGCCTCCCCACCTTCACCTTCCATCTCTTTCTCCTCCTCCTCCTCCTCCTCCTCCACCACCACCACCACCACCTCCTCCACCACCTCCACCACCACCACAAGGTTGCATCTGGTACAGTCTACTTCTCCAGTAATTGTTAGCTTTCATTCTTTCTTCATTCCAGCTACCATTTGTTTGAAATAATCTCTTTCTAGAACCATTTAAATAGGTAAAAAGTTCCTGAAGGGCTTATCTCCTTCTTAACTATCCTCCACACTTCACACTGTGTGACCATTCCACAATATAAAAATCTATTTTCATGTTATTCCCAGATGATAAGCCTAGATTTGGCCAGATGTCACAGGAAGCCTTCCTCAATTTGGGGCCTACCTGCCTTCCTAACCTCAGACCCAGTCGTGCCAACCACAATGATGCTGCGCTTCTTCTAGGAGCTTGCTGTTCCTCGTGCACTGTTGGAAATGCCATTCTCATTCCTTCCTGAGGGTCACTGAATTCTCTCTCAAGGTCCAGTGCACACCTCACTGAGCCAACGGCATCTTTCCTGGCCACTCTCCTCCACTGCAGAATGTTAGGCTCTTGTCTTTGGGGGAACAAATCTACTGATAAGAAAAGGTCTCTGTTTGTTAGTCTAAGAAAATGGTGGCCGGTGGTGTGTTACATGTTGGACTGCTAACTGCCAGGTTGGCAGTTCAATGTCATCATCTACTCCTTGGAGGAAAGGTGAGGCTTTCTGTTCCCATAAAGGTGTCCAGCCTTGAAAACCCACAGGGGCAGTTCTAGTCTGTCCTACAGAGTCAGGATGAGTCAGAACAGACTCAATGGCAGTGAGTGAGTCTAAGAAAAAGTGTCTGTGTATATGTATATGAAGATCGCTCCACTGACCAACAACAAGCACTGACATCGTGAAGTGACTGCCTTTGATCCCATGTAAGCATGACACTAGGTAGAAACTCCAGGTCTAAGTCTATACTGTGGGTTGCACAGGGAAGAGCAGAAACTTTGTTTTCAGAAAACAAACTTGGAAACCACTCCGCTTCACTACTGCTGGGAACACATCCTGCTAGTCTGTACCATTTTAAGTAGGTAAATACTTTTGCCCATGTTCTCCGTGGGAATCCACACCCCACTGCAGGATTTGTGCAGTCAGATTTCTCTATTTTCCTCCATGTCCTCCTACAGTTGATTCGCATAGTCTTAAGAACTTCCTATTTGTTTTCTTAAAGCAAAGGCTGTATCATTTACACCTTAAATTGAAGCTCACATTAGAAATTCACTGAAGAATTCAAACAGCCCTGCTACATATGCTTACATGACTAAGAGAGTGCGCTTTGGCCTACCCATAGGAATCTTGCTCAAACTCAAAAGGGTATTGATAAAAAATAAAGTTCACCACGACTGAGTCGATTCCAACTCATAGTGACCCTGTAGGGCAGGGCAGAAATGTCCTTGGTGGGTTTTGGAGACTGTAACTCTTTGCAGCAATAGCACCAATAGTGTGTGGTTTTGAACTGCTGACCTTGTTGCTAGCAGCTTTAACATGTAACCACTGTGCCACCAGGTTTTGTTTATAATTATTTTTGTGATTTATAAACTGGATTTTATAATTATGAGTATTTCATATTGCATGATGTTCAAAATGGATTTTTTTAAAGTAAAATAACAAAGGCAAGCATTTGCTAACCACTTCTTGGTAGCCTTCCAAAAACGTATTTTTCTTCCCCGAAGCTTCTGAAAGCTTGTACGCAGTACTGGTATTGTACAGAATTTCAGCTGATGTTCTGTGATCCTTTGGCACTTTGAAATTTACGGTGAACGAAGCTGTACAACTGACAAATGAATTGTCACAAGGTTCAAGAGGTCTTAAAAACTACTTACAACACCTTAAGACATACCCTACCCTACCCTACCAAAAAGAAAAAAAAGACATACCCAAACTACTGCATGGGGGTCTGTGGTGTTCACCTTCTCTAAAACTTTCTGGCGGTGAAGTCTGACTGGGAAAATAAAATCTTTAAAAGACACAGAAGGTGAAATCTGAGTCATGATAAGATTGCGGCCCAAGGTCCAGGACAAGGAAGCACTTTCCCTGATCAGTCAGCTGAGGGCCCTCTGTCTGACAGCTATGCCGGAACATCTGCCAGATGCTTATAAAGCCTTGCTTCTCACACTGGGCAGCTCTGTCCTCATTATTTTATGGGTAGAGAATACATACCAGTTACTAGCATATTATATATTTAAAAATAAACCAAATTTCAGATATGACTCAAACTCTCTTCCTGTAGTACTGAGTGAATATAATTTAATGTCCAGAAGTTTAAAATTCCTCTCAATTTAAAAGAGGTTTCTAGGAAAAAGTCCTGTCACCAGGCCTCAATGGTACTGACAGTGAAAATTTCAAATAGCTGATAATCACCACAAACAACCTCTAAAAAGCAGTGGGCGAGGGTAGGGATTACAGCAATTGGGTTGAACCCTTTCAAGACATTATACTTATGTTAGATGCCATATTCATTAAAGAAATACACATGTAAAACTGCTTTCTCATTTAACCTAATTCTCCCTTAAACAAAATAATCATGTTTCACCATATATTTCTTATAGGTTGTAGCCTATTTAACATTATACTTGATTACAGGATATACTTTAGGCTTTTCTACTAAGTATATACAATCCTAGAATTACAGCTTTGTTGTCTTCTAAGGTACTGCTCAGAATCACTACAATTTGTATATTTTAACATATGAACAAACTTGTAGCTTTATCATTAGGATGATTAGGCTCAGGTGTGATAAGTGACCTCAACCATTCTTCTTAGAACTTAAAGACAAAGAGGTTCAACAAACACAGCCTCCTTTGCATGGCGATCTCAGGGGACAGGGATTCCACGCCCCCAGCCCCAGGAAGTGAGAGGTTGCTCTCAGCTGGCAGTTAGAGATGAAGGGTTTTTCCGGAGCACTGGCAAGACTGCATGTTCTTCCTAGCTTCCCTCCCGGGGCCCTCCCAACCTCCTGTAACAAGGAACATTCTGTGAGGTACTAGCGAGGATCTGACCATACCTTCCTGGGTAGGTTCTGGGTCAGGTGTAAGTGAGATGTCATCCAGCTCTCGCAGGCAGAGCCATTCGCCGTCCATAGACACTCGGAATTTGCAAAGGTAGATGGTCTCCATGGCGGCCTGCGTGATCTTGTCCGTGGTGGGAGTGGGCATATCGGTCGGAGGCGTCAGAGCAGACATGATGACTCAGCTGGGACCACAACACGCACAACCCACACACCACACACAAACACACACCCCAAATAAATAAATAAAACCTCCTCACCAAACAAACCCCAAGACCCAGGCCTAAAGCTCTGAAACAAAGCTTTTAGGAAAAGGGAGGAGGGAGGGTTGAACCAAACAAACAAACAAAAATATCTTCCAGTTTAGGAAGCAACTGGATAAGATAAACAATTCTGTACTCTTCCCTTAGATGCAGGTCCTACCACGAAGCAAAATCAAACGAGGCTTGTCTTCTCCCGGCTCCCTTGCCTTGTTCCTTCTCTTCCCCCCTCCTCTCCAGCGGAGATGCCGGAGATGCCGGCTTCAAATCGCCCAGCCGATGCTGCCTGAGCTGGCTTCAGAAAACTGGCTTCAGCAGGAACAAGCGAAAGATCCTTGTTCTTTGTGCAGGAAGAAAAGGAAAGTAAACCTATTTTTTCAATTTAGATTTTAAAAATTCCTGAACTGTAGAAATCACTTCCAGGATCTGCTCAGATAAGCCAGGATGCTGAGTTCTAATAGGATTGGTTGTGCGCAGTAAGCAGGGTGTTGACCAAAATGGCTGACTAATGAACTGAGCTGAAAATTCAGGCTCATGTGACCAGCTGCTCTGAACGTAAGGCAAGCAATTCCCAGGATGCTTTATAGATGCTGCTGATGCAGGGAGAGCAATTAGGCTGTGCTTGCTCTCCTCCTGCACAACCCACTTTCAGACCGTGCTAGTCAAACTGTGATCAGACATAACACAATGCACCTAGCTCATCAATTCCCCTCACTCTGGGAAAGAACTGAGTAACAGGAGGAAAATTAGTATTGGAATAATAGCAAAGATGAGAAAAGTGATTTTTAAGAAGAGCCATGCAGATTTTCAATTTAAATAGTTTACTCTTAGGTATTTGCAATTTCCTTCTTCACGGTTCAAAGACCTTCTTTTTACAGTGGGCAGAAGTGAAAGAAAAAACTTGAAGTTAAAAAATAAAATCTTTCCTAATTCATCACTTCCCCTTTGTTTTAAAGGTTTTATTGTAGTTACCAAGTTTCTGCACTAAGCATACACTATGTTTCCATTTGAGAAAAGCACAAATACCAAGTTATATTTTTATGTTTCTACCCAGCCTGGAATATCCTGAGGACATATTATATTTCTTTTAGACAAGTCAACATATTATCAATATTATCCAATATTGTGACATATTCTTACAACATACAACAATGAGTTCATGAATAAATATGAATACTCTGCGATTGCCTTGTCACAAACCATGCCACTCTTCCCGCCAAACAATACGCATTTAACTAGCTAGCAACAACCCTAAGTAAGTAGCTGCAACAATGGACGCAGACACACCAGATCCGGAAGGTGGTGCAGGAAGCGGCAACAATGCAAACATTTGGATTTTGGAAGCTAAAGAGCAGGTATCTACTTTCCAAGCTACATTATGAAGTGTTAAGGAGTATGTTTTGGTTTTTTAAAAAATGTTATAGACAATTGAAGACGAGTTTTTTAAAGGCCTTGGTTTCAAGTATGTACAACTTCAAGACATCGATTCCAAGATTGTTGAACCCATTCTAGAGAATTCTTATCAGAATGATATCTTGATTTATCCACAAAATTAAAAGAAAAAAAATCCTTTGAAATTTTCATTATTAACAGTTTAAAAATTACCTCACCCTACTTTAAGATTTGGCTCAAAGCAAAATGCCAAGAACCAGATTGCATCATAGGTAAGCAGACATTGTCATATGGTTAAAGGGATAGTTTGCTGGTACAATGTAAGAATGCATACATACAAGGGAACTTCAAAAACTGTATGGAAAATTTCCATTACCTTTTAATTCCATTTTCCCACCAACTCTTTGAAGCCCCCTCGCATATGCTTATTTATAATCAGAGAGGAAATCAGTAAGCTACTAAGGAAAATAAAATACACTAAGGTTATGTATTTTTTTATCTCAATATCTCCCAGCATTAACTTTCATTTGGAACCAAAGCTATTCATTCATTCATTCACTCACTCACTCATTCAATTAATCACTCATTTACTGCGAGCTTTCTGAGAGCGAGCTAGTGATTCAAAACATTAGGTTGCCCAGCGAGTAAGATAAGCTCACACTTTCAACGAAGTAGAGTTTACATATTTAAATAATGAACAAGTATTTTACACGTAATTACAGCTCAATTTCTTTTTAATCTTACATACTTCCACTTTACACACTGAAATTTAAAAGGATAAGTTTATAATAAACAGCCATTCCAAACTAATTGCTCTTGAGTCGATATCAACAGAAGAGAACCAAACCATTGAATTTTCAATGCTGCATGCTTCACCGTATCTTTCTCTTACAGAGCAGTTTGGTAGGCTCAAATGGCCCACCTTTGGAGTATTAGCCAAATACTTAACCACTGTGCCACCAAAGCTCCTTAAACTGAAAAACAAACAAAACCAAAACCAAAACCAAAACCCAACTCTCTGTCCTGGAATCAGTGCTGACTCATAGTGACCCCTCTGGGTTCCCAAGACCACAACTGTTTCTGGGAGTAGAAAGCCCAGTCCTTCTTCCTCTGAGTGGCGGGTAGTTTCAAACTGCCAACCATGTGGATCACAACCCAATGCATAATCTTAAGCAATTATTTAAAAACTTTAAATAGAACTTAACACTGTATAGTTCCTGGAACCACAAACCTAAACCATCCAGGTTATCTGTGAGATAAAGAATGAAGGTTAGTGACATATTCTTACAACATACAACAGTGAGTTCATGAATAAATATGAATGCTCTGCGATTGCCCTGTCACAAATCATGCCACTCTTCCCGCCAAACAATACGCATTTAACTAGCTCGCAACAACCCTAAATAAGTAGCTGCAACAATGGACGCAGACACACCAGATCCGGAAGGTGGTGCAGGACGCGGCAGCAATGCAAAGCTTCCTCTGTTAATCACAAGGTGGTTGTGAGTCACAGCTCACTTCATGACAACAAGATCACAGACTAGGAGATCTGGACCGATGACAAATTACCAACCCAACAGGAACATCTATGCTAATAAGCCAGGAAACACTCGTTCCAAAGGTCAAACCCAGCCCCTTTCCCTCCAGGTAGAGGATATGGGGAGGAACTATCAAAACAGCTAAAGCTTTTGCAAGGACAAAAAATACCAGCACAGGCGCACACAAACATGTCTGCACTGGTTACCCTGGAGTTTGCCATAACTATCAGTTTGAGGAGCGGCTAGCAATCGTCTCAGAAATAAGAACTAAAGGTGGGTAAGAAAACCAGTACTTCCACTATCTATTAAAACTGTTCTGCAGGTGAAAATAAGAGCCCTGATCTCATACTAGGTTACCCATTGGTCAGCAGATGGAAGCCACAGTTTCTCTTGGGAGAAAGATGAGGTTTTCTACTAGAGTAAAGAATTACAGTCTCAGAAATCCATAGGGGCAGCTCTACCCTGTGCTACAGGGACATTGTGAGTGGGAATTGATTCGATGGCACTGACTTTTTTCTTTTGATATGCTAACTGCTCCTTGGGAGAAAGATGAGGCAGTCTGCTTCCATAAGAATTTACAGACAAAATGGGTGCATAAGCAAATGTGCTGAAGAAAGCTGATGGTGCCCGGCTAGCAATAGATATAGTGTCTGGGGTCTTAAAGGCTTGAAGTTAAACAAGTGGCCATCTAGCAGAGAAGCAACAAGCCCGCATGGAAGAAGCACACCAGCATGTGGTTTCATGAGGTGTTGATGGAATCAGGAAGAGGGCACTAAAAGGACACCCCCCCCCACCAAAACAACAACAACAACAAAAAAACAAAACAAAACCCAACATATTGTTGAGAATGAGAGGAGTCCAGGAAGATACCCCAAACCCATCTGTAGACAATAGGACATCACCTCACAGAAGGGTCAAAAGGAGGGGATGAATCAACCAGGGCACGCAGTATGGTACCAATGAAACTCACAATATTCCTCTGGTTCTTTAAGGCTTCCTCACCCCACCATTATCATGACCCCAGTCCTGCCTTTCAGTTCTGGCTAGACTGTAGGGAGCATGTACACTGGTACAGATAAGAGCTCACGAGACACGGAATCCAGGTCAGATAAAACGCTCAGGAACAGAAATGGGAATAATGATACCAGGAGAGTAGGGGGAAGATGAGGAGAGGAAGGGAAGAAAGGGGAACCAATCGCAATGATCGACGCATAATCCCCCCACTCCAGAGGGATGAACAACAGAAATGTGGATGAAGGGAGACAGTGGTTGGTGTAAGATATGAAAACAATAATAATTTATAATTTATCAAAGGATCATGAGGGGGGGAGGGAGAGGAGGGGGTGAAACAAGAGGAGCTGATATCAAGGGCTCAAAGATAAAGTAAATGTTCAGAAAATGATGGCAACATATGTACAAATATGCTTGGATTGATGTATGGAATATTATAAGAGCTGTAAGAGCCCCCAATAAAATATTTTTAAAAAGGAATTTACAGTCTCAGGAATCTACTTTGCTCTATAGGGTCTCTGGAGAGAACTGAAAACTATAACAAGTAATACAGTTATATGTATTGTGAACACATGATCCATACAGAAGTAGGAGAAAGATAATGAAGCAGGTAATCACTTTCTAATATGATTCATTATAGAACTTCATTAAACAGAAAGCTTCAATGTACTTTATTATTAAAGTACTTCAGTTTACTTTATTTAAAAAACATAATCAAAATTCATGAAACCACTGCCCAAATGAAGAACTAGACCAACAATTTAAATTTGTGTGTTCCTTCTGTCTTCTCAGCCCGCCTCTCCTTCTAAGACAGCCACTTGGGAATTCTGTGTAAATCATTATACTAGTTTGAATTTTTTTTTTATTACACATATATGGAGCCTAAATAATATATTTCATTTTAGTTGGCTGTGTACTTCATCCAGTATTTTGTTCTCTAAGATTAGAATGTTTGACAGGCTCCCTACCATTTTTGTAGATATTAAATAGGCTGATAAGGAACGGTGAAATGCGTGTAACTGGAAAGCTGAGTGACCCTTTTGCTAGAAACAAACACCACCGGGAGTATTACAAGGCACGCGCTCCCTTTTCATTTGTTAAAGTTCACCAGCAGAGGAACAGAAGTGACTACTTTCTTATTAGTAAAGCCGATTTCATGGCTCAGTGGCAGTAGGCAATGATCTACAAATAGAAAGCCACAAACAATTTAGCAGATGACCTTGGGAAATTTACTCTCCTTTGGTCTCAATTTCCTCTACAATAAAATGCAACTAAACAATTAGCTTCGCCAGCGTCCGTGAGGAGAACCTTGCCTGTTTCGCACAGCTCTAGCCATCTGCTCAAAATAGTACCTCATCCCACTGATTAAGGAGACGGTTGCACAATGCCACTCCTGTCAATATGTTGTCACCTGTAAAAAGTTGAACTGGCAAAAGTTGTATGTCATGTTGCCAACCACCACCACCACCACCACAACGTAGCTCCCAAGGCTGCTTATGTACAATCAAGCACCTCAGGGGATTTGGCTCCTTGGAAGTTAGGGTTAGAGTTTCATGGGACGTTCCAGTTACTGGCCTAATAACATGGCCAGTGGCTCTACCTATCTCTAGTTTGTTGCATTGAACTCGGGGTCTTGAAAGCTTGCAAGCAGTCGTTCCAGGCAGGACAGTTGGTTTCTAGTCGCTCGGAAGAGCGGATGGAGAC